TGACCAACATGGTGAAACCCTGTTCCTACTAAAAAAAATTAGCCAGGCATGTTGGCGCATGCATGTGATCCCAGCTACTTGGAAGGCTGAGGTGGGAGAAATGCTTAAACCTGGGAGGCAGAGGTTGCAGAGAGCCGAGATCGCACCTTTGCACTCCAGTCTGGTGACAGAGCAAACTCTGTCTCAATAACAAAAAAAATTTCTTCGTTTTAGGCAAGGCATCGTACTCAGTATCATGAGGAAGAATAAAGATGTTGGTAACAAAAGTTAGGCAGTGGTAGCTAGAAAAATCTCCTGGTTCTTTTCTTATGTAAAGGTGATTAGTGTTTCTTGCTAGTACAAAAAAAATGTCCTTGACAAGACCCTTAAGTCACTGGGTCATAACTGGCCCCGTTAGCATGGTTGTTGCTGAGCTGTGAGGTAGTATTTTCCTGGCTATGCCATATAAGTTGTCACTAGTACATTTTGTGAGGAGCACTCAGAACAGCATTTACCATGAAGTAAGCATCATGTAAATCAACTCTAATCTAAGGAGAATGCAATGTCTCCTTCATTGGGCGAGCAGTTTCTGTCTCTGCCCTATTGGATTTTTGCCTATTTTTCCCCCTTTCCATTGGACCCTATCACTGTGTTGTATTATATTTTGTCATATTTATGATTTATTTACTTCTGCTCTGTTTCTTTAAATTTTAAAATGTTCACCTAAAAGATTCTTTAGGTTAATATATAGTCCTTCACTCTCTGGGCCTACTTTGGGGACTGATCTTTTTTATTTTTATTCTGCGTTGTCTAGGTAGCACAGAGCTCACAGGCAGCACGAATCTGATCACACATTACAACTTGGAACAAGCCTATAATAAATTCTGTGGGAAGAAGGTGAAGGAGAAGCTAAGTAACTTCCTGCCTGACCTGCCAGGGATGATTGATCTGCCTGGTTCCCATGATAACAGCAGCCTCCGCTCCCTCATTGAGAAGCCCCCTATTCTCAGCAGCTCTTTTAATCCTATCACAGGGACCATGCTGGCCGGCTTCCGCCTCCACACCGGCCCGGTGAGTCCCCTTGGAGGAGGAAGGCGAATGGGGAGGCCTAAACATGGAGATGGTTTTTCTGTCCCAGTCTGTTCCTTCATAACGGAGCAGAACAGATGATGGGAACAGGGGATTTCCTTCCACTACTCACCTGGACCTTCCTTTGGTTCCTTCAGTTGCCAGAGCAGTGTCGTCTGATGCATATTCAGCCTCCCAAGAAGAAGAATAAGCACAAGCACAAACAGAGCCGTACTCAGGATCCTGTCCCCCCAGGTAAGAAGTACAGTAGTTCTACTCAAAGCTAAAAAAAACCCTGATATTCCGAATCTGGTTTGGCCTTCCATAGGTAAACCCAGTTAAGTTCCACATGGAGCCCTGGACTCCTAAATTCCCCGAAGAAACCAGTGTACTGGGGTCTCTTGGGACTTATCACAGGCACTCTAGCAGCACTTCTGTATCCTTTCTGACCATTTGGACAAAAGCAGTTGCCCCTGACTTGGGATTTTCCTGTCGTCTGCAGTGTTCCTAACAGGAGAGGATTTTGAGCTCTACAGGTGATAGGTACCTAATGTCTCCTACAGAAACACCATCTGATTCAGATCACAAGAAGAAGAAAAAGAAAAAAGAAGAGGATCCTGAAAGGAAAAGGAAGAAGAAAGAGAAGAAGAAAAAGAAGGTAGAGTAGAGGCCTATTGCCACAACCCAGTGAGTTTCCCCATATCTCACCTCTGTCCTAAATAGAGTTCTTTCCCTCCAGTTGGACCCAAGATCGAAAACCCAGGGCAGGCTGCAGGTTTCTCCTGTTCAGCCTGATCAAAGCCAAGGCTAGTTCCTAGTTGTTCTTACCTCTCCTCCTTTCTCCCCCAGAACCGACATAGTCCAGACCACCCCAGTATGGGTAGCTCCCAGGCCAGCAGCAGCAGCAGCCTACGCTAACAGGACCACTGGACTCTTTGCCAGAATGGCCTTTCCTGCTATATTGAACCCGCTGACAAAAGCTGCCTTCCAGCCTCTTGGACACTGCCTTGGGAGCATCCTGCAGCTGGGACAGAGGCCAGCTCTGTTGGTCTCAGTTGAGATTAAGTACATTATGAGAGAGAGGGACATGCTTTTGTAGGCTCATCCCTGTTGGCTTTCTCATGGATATCTCTTCCTCTTCAGGAAGCTTACGATTTTCTTCTCTCTCTTTTGTGCAATTTATCTGATTTAGGACTTGTGTGTTTTTTCTTAAAAAAAAAAAAAATTACATTTATCAAACTGGCTGAAGTGTGACTACTTAAAAGGTATGTGCCTTTCTGTGAGTCAGGATTTAAGACAAGACTTTGCTAAGACAAGGGGATTTGGGTCATGTCATTACATTATCTCACTAGCAGGCAGGGAAACAATCAAAATGAAAAGTGAGCCAAGCTTATTAATACTCCACAGCAGACACATAACACTCTGCCCGTTACATTGAGAACCAAGTGCCTAGGTGATCTCAGGCTCTATCTGAAGAGATAAGGCTCAACAGTGTGTTCTAGGTCAATTTTGTGTTGAAACAGAATAGTCAACCGAAAACACGTGGACAGTCACCAGTGTACTTCAACAAGATTGGTTCTTAGGTCAGAAGCCTGTGATATTTTGTAATGAACTTCTGGCAAGCAAAGGTAAATGCTTCTCTTCTCTTTATAAGAACTTTTGACCTGCCTCATTCCTAAGTTAAGACACTAAAGTTACTAGCTGATGTTAAAACATTTCTAAAACAGTAACAAAAGGTAGCCTAACTATCAAAATGTAAACAAAACAACCAAAAAAGACTTTAGTTTTTGCAGCTGGTTAGGTAACTAAACATTCATGAGAAAACCTGAATTAACGTAATCTGACCTTAAATTTAAATCTGTTGCCGTGAAAGCCAAAGTTGTTCCTGAATCAGTGGGTGGAAAACCACTCATTCCGTTAGTTTTAATCCAGGATTTCAGAATAAGAGTTTGGTTTGTTTTTTTTTGAGATGGAATCTCAGTCACCCAGAAGTGCAGTGGCATGATCTCGGCTCACTGCAACCTCTGTCTCCTGGGTTCAAGTGATTCTCGTGCCTCAGCCTCGCAAGTAGCTGGGACAAGTCTGTGCCACCACACCCACCTAACTTTATTTTGGAGATGGTGTCTCACTCTGTCACCCACACAGGAGTGTAGTAGTGCAGTCTCAGCTCACTGCAACCTCCGCCTCCTGGATTCAAGTGATTCTTCTGCCTCAGACTCACAAATAGCTGGGATTACAGGCACCTATGACCAATGCCCAGCTAATTTTTGTATTTTTAGTACAGATGGGGTTTCACCACGTTGGCCACTGTTAAACTCATGACCTCAGGTTATCTGCCCACCCCAGCCTCCCAAAGTAATGGGATTACAGGCATGAGCCACTGCACCCAAATAAGAGTATATATTCTTAAATTTTGAGTAATTAAAGAGTTCTGGTTAACTGCTTGAAATTTAGTGTCTAAGGGTACCTATTTAAAATTAGAACACAGCTTTTGTCCAATAGAAGGCAATGTATCTAACTGAACTGACATCCATATTTAGTTAACCTTTCACCAGGCTTTCACACCTGTTACTCTCTCATCTTTGGCTGATTCCAAAATTAGCTTTACTTTCCAGAGACTAAATTCTATATTAAGAAACAATTGTTGCTGGATACAGTGGCTCATGCCTGTAATCCCAATGCTTTGGGAGGCCAAGGCAGAAGAATTGCTCAAGGCCAGGAGTTCGAGACCAGCCTAGGTAAAATTGGTAGAGAGACTATCTCTACAAAAAAAAAAAAAAAAAAAAATTAGTTAGGCATGGTGGCATGCAGCTGTAGTCCTAGCTTCTCAAAAGGCCAAGGTGGCAAGATCCCTTGAGCTCAGGAGTTTGAGAGTATAGTGAGCTGACTGTGCCACTGCCCTCCAGCCTGGGCAACCAGAGTGAGACCCTCTCTTAACAAAAAAAGAAGAGACAACTTTAAGAGTTCTCTAAGCTTTCAAATAACAAGCACCTTTGGTGGTTTCAAGAGACTTTTTTCAGGAATTTTTGAATTAAATCACCCAAATAAAAACAGGACCTGTTTGTTTTTAGAGATAAGAGTCTCTGTGTTGCCCAGGCTGATCTGGGATTGCTGGGCTAAAGTGATTCTCCTGCCTCAGCCTCCCCCAGTGCTGGGACTACCGCAGGTGTAGTCCCAGGTGTAAGCCACCGCACCAGGTCTCTTTATTTTTTTAGTTGTTGTTTTAAGTGGCTATTTTCATTATAGTCTTGCCTAGAGATGGGCTGGGACCAGAGAAGCTTATGAGGTTGTCACTCTGATAACTTTCCCCCAGAGATCGTTCACCCTGTCTCAACCAGACAAAATAACACAACTCAGGGGGCGCTGGTTAGATCAGGATTTCTTTTTATTCCTTGTTGGTTTAAAATGGCTAATCAGAATAAAAACTAAAAGGGCCTCTTTGTGGAGGCTGGGATCTCCCCTATTTAGAGGTTAGAACCCAGGTATCCCCTCTACCCAGCACCATAGTGAGGTGGGCTGAGGGGTAACCCCCAAGGGACAATTGGAGGGGCCTAGGCCTGCCACTCCTTCTCTCTATCCCATTTTTGGCATGTGATGAAAAATATTGCTTTTTGGATTCTTCTCTCCTGGCCTTGGATTTTAAAATCAAGTTAACTGTGTAAGCTAGGGGAGGCTCCAAGGGGCTAGCAGAAGGAGCCCACTCTAATCCCTCTCTCTCAAGGAGGGGATTATCCAATATTGTTTGAGCTAGGCCAAGTTATTTTCCTGATCTTCCCCGACCACCACCAGTGTCTTGAAGTTTTGACCCCTTTCGTAGGGAAACTAAATGCCAGTGAGCCTAGAAAACTAACTCTCCTCTCCAAGTCCTTCCCTCTTGTGACCAAAATTCCAGACTCCCCTCTCCCCAGGCTTCTTCCTAATCACACTTAGCACCAACAGAGGATGCTATTTCCTTAGTAACTGGGACAAATGAGAGGGAACCACAGGGAAAAGACCGATGTCTCCCCTCTTTTTCTGCTGGTCTGAGGAATGGGAAGAATAAGATCCCCCTCCATATATGTATCCCTCCCTCACTTTCCCATCCCAGGATAGATATATAATTTCTTTGATATTTATAATATATATATATATATTATATGTACACACACACCTGGTAACGCAGAAGAGGAAAAAAATAGAATCCGTAACAATAATAAAAAAAATTATTTCTGGTTTAAAAATGATCTGGTTCCCTCCAGGGCGAGCAATTGCACAAATGTCCACTGAGTCTGGTCCAGGGATCAAGGAAGGGAAGGTCTTGAAAGAGAAAAGGGGGGTTGCTACCCCAGTCTCAGGGCCCCAACTCTCCAACTCCCCAAGCCCACTGCATTTTAGAAAACACTCCTCATCCTCTTGGAATCGGTGGTTTAAAAAATGTCCATGCAGGGGAGGGGAGCCCCTTGAGGGAAGGAAGGTGGCCACCTGGGGCCCTTTGGTGTAGGCGCAGAGGCGATGGGGAGGGGAGGCGCCGAAGGCTCACACCGAAATCTCATAGGTGGTACCACCAA